AATATAAAAAATTAATTAATAATTATAAATTTACATTTTTTAAAAATGTGTTGTGTGAAAAAAAACGTGTGAGAAGCACAGACAAATCAAGCCTAAGTTAATTAATTTTTTTGAGTACATAAATATCTAGGCTTTTCTTAATAAAAATTTTTGTGGCAATTTTATGGAATTTGCTTGTCTTAAAATCCGAAGTTAGTCGAGTTCAGCAAACACCATCGATTATTCAGAAAAATTATGCAAGCCTAAACAGAGTCGAGTACTGTCACTCCGTATATCTAGGCTCATTGTGTTGTGTAATCGTATGTATGTCCTTTTTATATTTTGCCTTGTAGTTGTGACCTCTTTGTTTCCTTTTTGTCAAAGAAGAAAAAGCTGTTCATTAAATTGGTGAATCTTCTTTCAGCTTGAGGGTTTCAACCTGGAGTATTTAAAGCTGTCTGGAAATATTAACATTCAGCAAATTTGGCACAATCGGCTTCCAGAAATGTCTTCTCTTGTTCGAAATCTAATACGTTGTAGTGTGGAGGGCTGTGGTAGTTTAAAATATCTATTGACATCCTCTATGGTTAAAAGTTTAGTGAATCTTCAAGGCCTCGTTGTTAAGAATTGTAAGATGATGGAAGGGGTAATAGTCCCAGAAGAAGGATTTGCAGAAGAAGTCACGACCCAGAAGATATTTTTTCCTAATCTGCTACTCCTGGTACTTGAAGACCATCCCAAACTCAAAAGATTCTGTTCAGGAAATTACATTGCATTCCCCCGCATAAATAGAATTATAATAGGTCAATGTCCTCTGTTGAAGGCGTTCACCTCTAGCCCTGTTATTGGAGACATAGTAGTCAGTACAGAGAAAGCTGAAAACACCTCCACACCACTTCTATTTGATGCCAAGGTGATTTCGTCTTATTGTTTTTCCGTGTCTCACATTAATACTATTATAGTTTCACCCCTTAAAGCCTTTCCTTTTTTAATTGGATTCTAAAGTTGAGTTTTTGTCTTTCTTATACTGATAAGTTATTACTGCAATCGATAAATTATTTAGGTGGCCGTCCCTGTGCTAGAGAAACTAGTAATCAAGCACATGGAGAGCTTGGACAAGATATGGCACAACCAACTTGATGCAGAATCATTTTGCAAATTAAAAGACCTCCACGTAATTTGCTGTAAAACACTAGAGAGCATTTTCCCATTTAGGATGCTGGAAAGACTTCAGAGACTAGAAAAACTGTTTATTAGTAGATGTGATTCACTAGAAGTGATATTTGAACCTCAAGGACATATTGCTAGCTATTCACAAGCTCTGGTAGCCAGTCAGCCAACTTTGGTAGAAACTGAAACCAAGTTGGTACTTCCAAAATTGACAGAACTGACGCTTCAAAGCCTACCCAAGCTCAAGGGTTTCTGCCATCCAATACACTTTAAATGCCCATCTCTGAAGAAATTGGCGGTGGTTGAAGTCCGGCAGCTAGAGATATTTGCTTTAGAATTTCCTAGCTTCCAAAGTACCACTAGTGATCATCAACTTGACACTCGGCAACATCCTCTTTTTTGGATCAACAAGGTACGAACTCAAAATATTTTACAATAATAAGGGGAAATCCCTTGTGCATGCGTGAGATGCACTATATTTCTAGTAAAGCTTTTGGTCTGAACATATTCAAATCGAGCAAAATGTATAAGCCACATGGTAATACTTATTTTTTCCAAAAAAATTAATTCCATTTGATTGAATGATTAAGGAAATCAAATTACCCAATTTATAAATGGAACTTTATAGAAAAAAATTATTAATAAATATTATTTGCCAACTTTCATTCTAATATTTTATTCAAAATTTCAAATAAATGAGAATGGGTAGTACTGTATACGTTGCTATTGAAATTTATTTTAAGGTGATATCCTTGTCTATGTTAACCATGTAAATCTCTTATTTTAGCGGTGTCATAAGTATTCCTGAGTTGTGATTTGTCCGTGATGCACTTTATTTGTTAATGGAAAAGCTTTCCTTTTTTTATGAAAGAAAAATAAAACTTAACTTTTTCATTTCATTAAGTTTTT